ATAGTATAAACTTCTTGATATTTACTAAAATAGTAAGGAATTTAAGCCCTAGAACCGATTAATGTATTGGCGGACTGATACTAAAGCTGGTTGCCCGGCCAGTGCAAGCGAAAACATGTTGAGGTCGGTTCGTAAGAACTTCGTTAACCGAATTTTTTTTCGTTAACCGAATTGAAGATCCTTATGGAAGGCAGTTCGTTAATCGAAATTATGTTAACCGAGGTGTTCGTTAAACGAGGGGTCACTGTAGTCTTAATTATTCCTTTAAATTTTTTAGTTGTTACTAAACTTGAATTTGTTTAATATTTTTAATTGTGCACCATTATTCAGAGAAGATAAACTAAAAGGCAAGCTTTTTTGCACTGTATTGTGTAAGAAATCAAAATTTAATACTTACCAAAGGGATTTATCTCCAAGGTATCAACAACTGGGGTTTTAATAGTATACAGTATGTGGTACTGAAATAAGAAAAATAAGCTTGTTCCACAATACATACAAGCAAAATATTTAGTTTTCTTTTCTATGTAATATTCACTCATTTGGTTTTGTTTTATTCTTGGTGTTAATTGAGGCGTCTAGCGTACGAATGACGAACTCACCAAATCATAGTTTTGAGTAAACAGGCTTGTCATTGTATTATGCTCACCTTCTACACACAAAAATTATCAATATAGAACATAACTGAGGCAATTCTATCAATAGTCCATGGCGCTGTGATTTTACAGTTCTAAAACTTTGACGTGTTTTTACTCAAAACCATGATTTGGTGAGTTCGTCATGCCTACGCTAGACGCCTCTATTGCATCAGCAAGTTTTTTCAGGGAGAGTAAAGATTTCTGTTTTTGTTGCTGGAAGGCCTCTATGCTCTTCCTTGATTTTTGAGCTATTTCCTCATACTGTTTTCCTTGATTCTAATTGTTTCTTTAACAAAAATTTCCTCTTATTTTCTTCCTGCTACAACCTCTGCTGCTTTAACATGCTTCTATACCTACTGCTGGAGTTTTATGTTCTTACACATCATAGGGTCCCCCTCCTGGGGGACACACACACACATGCCCTACAGCCCTGACCTCCTGGGGGACATACACATGCCCTACAATCCTGACCTCCTGGGGAACACACACACACATGTCCCATAGCTCTGACCTCCTGGGGAACACACACACATGTCCCATAGCTCTGACCTCCTGGGAACAGACACACATGTCCCATAACTCTGACCTCATGGGAACACACACACACATGTCCTATAGCTCTGACCTCCTGGGGAACACACACACATGTCCTATAGCTCTGACCTCCTGGGGAACACACACACATGTCCTATAGCTCTGACCTCCTGGGGGACACACGCACATGTCCTATAGCTCTGACCTCCTGGGGGACATATACAGTACTCAGTATACTGGCTCAACGTCCTCGTGCGGCAGACCCATCAACCCTAATATCAAAGACTAGCAATAACCAAAACACAATTAATTAAACTCCAAAGATTCTGTAAACTAAACAAGTGTACACAACTGTACCTCTACAAAGCACTGAACAGATTACAAAAACAAATACTGTACACGTACAGTATACTCAAACTACAGGCAATACAAGGCATTGCACTTAGAACAGCAAAGCACAGACCAACATATACACAAATGGTACGAGACATACACACACATAACACTATTACTACACCCATCATCATTTTGGCTACAAGGAAGTGGCTATAGTGACAAGTCTGGTGTTACGATAACAAATACAAAACTAATATAAAATACTGAAAAAACAAGAAAAAATGGTAATTTAAAAGGCTGAAGCAAACTCACTATTCCCAGTACAGTACTATAACTTTTTCCCAGCATTTAAATACCATATCACCTACCTTATGTTACTTAACAATTGTGCAACTTCAAACACACTGGTAAACAATTTATATGAATAAATGCAACTAAAACAATTAAGGAAAAGATAAATTGTAGTTACACAACCGACAATTGCATAGATGTTGGCTGCTTGACAATAGCAACACAGCCCAATTGGGAGACTCACTGCCTATGCCCCCCCCCCCCCTCACATTTCACCCCCTCTTACACACAAAGAAAAGTTATTCCCTTTTTGTTTTTTACTTTGATATTATTTCTTTTACCTTTTTTAGCACAATATTTAGGTAGGATTGTGTGTGTGCATATTACTGAGTAAAAACGATGAAGAAAGTTACGTATACAGTGTCTACCTCACAGCTCCGGCTGGGATGGAGATGTAGCTAGTGACGAGTCGTCAACAATGCCACATTACAAAGAAAATTAGTTGCAAATCTTCATTTGTATCAGGCATATGTAGATTTAAAGTGGCATAATGTACAGTATATATTCAAGGAGGTTCTGTCTTCATAAAGAAAGAGGTATGGTAAGCAAGCCCAGGATGAAGGAGCTTACTGGTAAGGCTAGCTTACCATAGGCATGTACAACTATCGTTCACCATAATTGACCCACGGAAATGCATGAATTTTAATTTTCAAAAATACTAAGCGTATCTAGTTCAGCCCTTTACCTTTTGCATAAAAACTGGATCATGAAAACTCAAACTGTATATACAGTATACTGTACACATCCACTTTATCTTACACTGCACAAGGTCATCCATGACACATACACGTACGTAGGGACTCGGGAACCTAAAAAATCATTACGGCTCTGAAAGTTTCTAGAATCTAGAACATTACCAATCTGTGTTTGTGTAATATGCTGGCTGTTGTTTTGAATGCCTGAATAACAGATTCTGTCTGAGTAACTATTGTACGTGGCTTAATTAGTCTGGTACTCTGGATTATTAATGGTATACAAATATAAATCTATATACAGTACAGTCGGCCCTTAACATACGCGGGTTTATAATACACGGATTTGCAAATACGCGGATTGCCCCGCCGGAGGAATATTCTGTACATTGAAGTACATTCAAATCGCGCGCCATTCAACTCGCGCGCGGCACCTCACACGGGACACCGCCCGCTCCCGCAACCTCACACACACACACGCATAGCTCTCCCTCACTCAGTCAGTCTCGCTGTAACCACGCTTGTGTTGACATCAGCATTGTAGTTGCAAAAATATTACATTTCCGTGAATGTATTATATCAAGCACAGTATGAATAGAATATCACTAATATAAGAGTATTTTAACCGAAAACTACTAAAAAAACGAGTAACATATCTTGAACATCGGAAGGTTAGGTAAAGTCTTTTGTTTTCATGTAGTTTATCCTAATTTACATTGAAATGCATTACGTTTCAGCAAAACTACTATTTATTTCTGAGAATATGGAAATGTAATGTTTTACTGAAACGACGTACGTATTACAGTGGAAAGTGACGAAAGCAATGACTCGCTTTCTTTCGTTCAAAAGATGTTACCGTAATCGCTTTTCGAATGGTTTTCAGTTAAAAAACTGTTGTATTACAATAATATTCTATCCTAATTCACTTGTGATGCAACAGTTTTTTTAACTGAAAACCATTCGAAAAGCGATTACTGTAACATCTTTTGAACGAAAGAAAGCGAGTCATTGCTTTCGTCACGATTTTATCCCACTTTCCACTGTAATACGTACGTCATTTCAGTAAAAATATTACTTTCCGTGAATGTAGTATATCAAGCACAGTATGAATATAATATCATTGTAATATAACAGTATTTTAACCGAAAACTATTAAAAAAAACGAGTAACATCTCTTGAACATTGGAAGGTTAGGTAAAGTCTTTTGTTTTCGTCATGTATTTTATCCTATTTTACATTGAAATACATCACGTTTCAGCAAAACTACTATTTATTTCTGAGAATTTATTCATTCAGGCACAGTTTAGGTAAAATATACATGTGTTGTAACATTTTTTTAATTGAAAACGATTCGAAAAACACGTACCCTCTAGCCCTATTCAAGGAAAAGACTAGGAGGAGCTGTTTGGTGCTTAAGACGATGACAAGGAAAATGATTTTGATGGATTTTAATGAAAATATTCAGAAAGACCCTGGCACTGTCAAGGAAAGTGGCTGCTGAAGGCTTCCAGGACATGGCAGAGGACGAGATTAGGGAACTAATTGAAGAGCACGACACTGAGCTGACTGAGGAGGATCTACAGGAGTTAGTAGACTCAGGCAAGGAAGAAGCGAAAGGGAAAGAGGATGAGGAAGAGCACCAAGAAATAACGTTGGAGAAGTTGGGGGAGATGACCAGGAATATTGAGGCACTGAAAAACCTGGCCTATAGTATGGACCCCTCCATGGTGCGTGCCCTGAAATTCATGCGAGGGATGGATGACGTTTTCGCTCCATACAAAAACATCATGGAAGAAATGAAAGAAAGAGACGACAACTCCCCATCACCATGTTATGGAATTGAGTGACGATGAGCCCGATGACCCCCGTCCTGTCGCCGAGGATAGGTACTGTACAGTAAAGTGAAATTTTTATCTTTTTTTTTATTAGCTTTTCTTGCCATGTTTATGTTTGTAAAAATGCACAGCACAGTACAGTTCAGTACTGTACATAGGAAATGGAGGTGCAGTTATTCACAAAACATTTGTGTTCGTTGTCGGCAGTAGTGACGGTGAGGAGGTGGAGGGGGGGGGGGCAGCACATATACGCGGATTTTTAACATCCACGGGTATCTCTGTTACATAACCCCCGCGTATGTTAAGGGCCGACTGTACATAAAAAAACACATACAGTATACAGACCCTTAACCTAACATTGGCCTGGGATTCAGTGCCAGTATGCAAAAAGGCAGTAAAGTACCGACCACCATATACGGTACACAAATGGCACGAGATAAACACACAACAGAACCAGTGCTGCAGATCTAAAAGCAAATGAGAGCAACGGAGTACAAATAAAATAAGAGAGAGAGAGAGAGATTGATAACATGTGGCTATATTAAAAAGTTGGAGGTTCTGTAAAGTAATGTAACAAACAAATTCTTTCTTTGGCCAGGAAAACAGATACAAAAAAATCATTATAATGTTTATTGAAAATGCAAAATTTGTACTTCTAGTATTATAACTTATAAGATAATTATTTATAGATGTGAGTTATACTGTATAACCTTTACAGCACTGCTACTATATACACAGCAGACAAGAAATTATAGAAGTATGAAAAAAACAAAAAACAAAATTGTTAAATCACTTTCAAGGAAATCCTACTAAAAAATAATACACTACGTATGCTGTAATTAAATGTCTATTGTATGTAAATCTATCAGTGTCTGTTTAGTTCACTTTTGACACATACAGTATGTTTGGTACCTTATTCTTATCCTCAATGCATTTCTGCACACAAACTAAAATTCTAAAATAAAAATCTTTTATAATTATTAAAATTGTAATTTATCACAGTAAGTGATAAAACAATAAAACTTAATATTAAAAATCTCTTAGAGAGGTTGTACACTGATTAGTTTCATTTCTTGTATATGCAAGAGAAAGCTGTCTTCATCCTTTGAGGGGTCGGGTTCCTTCTTCTGCCTACATAACTAGCTCAGCCCAGAGCATCCTCTGAACAGAAATTCTTTGTCATTTGCCTGTTCCTCTAAACTTCTTTTTCACCTACAGTACTGTACTGTATAAATAATTTTCTTATACAGTAATAGTAATTTTGATTGAAGAATATCATTCTTTTCATTTTATGTTTTACACCAGAATTTGGCAACCTTTCACTGAGTTAAGTTTCACACAATCATACTTCATGGCCAATCTCTATGCTTTCATTAAATGTATAAACTTTTGATAATGCCTTTAAAAACATAATGCTGAGGGTGAACTCTTCACGAACAATACAGGGAAGTTAGCACAACAACTCTCTTTTTAGTTTAAACCTCGAATACGGCGAACCAGCTTTAAATCTTGAGGATAAATGGTAACACGCTTTGCATGTATTGAGCAAAGGTTTGCCATTTCTAAGAGGCCAACAATGTAACATTCAGCTGCTTCTTGTAGAGCCATCAGTGCTAGTGACTGCACCCTGTAGAAGAGAGAAGTTGAAGAGGTATTTTTAGCCACACAACTAATTTCTGTTGAGTCTAATGTGAATTGATGCTGAAAAGTTGAACTTCTCAAAACCTGCCTTCAAAGTTTGTTCCCAGAAGCTAGAATCTCTGGAAAACTCATACCACTCACAAGAAAATGATGATATACTGTGCCGTACTGCCTCATCATGCAGATTGTTTTTGGATGAACTTCTGCTGTTGACTGTACAGTACAGTACATCCAAATACCACAACAATGAAAATATGCTAAAATAATGTTTCCTTTTTTCTTTTATGACCACTGACCAATATGTTTACTTGTTTCACTAATATACTTCATTATTCTCAAACATTCACAATGTTATTAACACATTTCATGCTAAGTGACCCACCGATCGGTCACAACACATTTTTTCTTGTTGCATTGACACACAGATGGGCCTCTCTTAGTTTTCCCTTTGTAATGTTTCATTTACAGTAAATGCAATGGTATTCTTACAGTAAAGAGTTGACATTTACTTTTGTTTACATTGGACTATAAGTTAAATACAATGAGGAAACTCTAATATCCTGTTAGCCGGAGCAATATGTGCAGAGCATTTCTATGTTAGAAAGATTTCCGAGTACCGAGACAAATTCTCTTATCCCGGCTAAAGTCACACATCTACGGAAGTTTTCCAGGGATTGGTGAAAGCTTCTGCATCTAAATTACGCAACTGACAATCAAAGGATAAGAATAAATTTCCCTCACAACTGCTGAAAGATATTCCTATTTTTCTAGCTTTCTTTTCACACATTTGTCACCCTCATTGGCTGAGATCATCTCATAACAACCGTGGCACTGTTTCCTACTTTGTTCTCTTCTGACCAGCTGCCTCATCCAAGTCATGAGATGACCTTTGATCTGTTTCCAGATCTAGTTTTATCTGTAACTGATCCAGTGAGCAACAATAGTACAATGGATTCCTTGAAATATCTGGGGACCAATGGTGATGCACTTTAGTATTTATTATAGAAACCCAAAAGCATTTACTAATAAGTCATGTAAACTGATCACTTGTAAAAGGTACAGTCGTATCTCCATTAGCTGGAATCCCTCAAACCCGGAAGTAATACAGTATCTCCGTTAGCCGGAATCCCTCAAACCCGGAACTCTTCAATAGCCAGAATTAAATTTTTCTCAAAAAATCATCCCCAAAGAGGGAATTTTCTGAAAATTCCAGTATTGGGAAAAATTTTATGGAAGACTCAGAGACAATTTTCCCAGTACCCAGAAAATTCCAAGGATGGGGAGTTTTTTCCGGGTTTGAGAGATGAAAATCAATTGCACTGGAAAATTTAGGGGATGGGGGATATTTTTCTGAGTTTGAGAGATGTAATGCACAATTTCCGGAACTTTAGATAATATTTTTCCGTGACTCGGAAAATTACGGGAATTAGGTTTTTTCCGGCTTTGAGAGATGAAATAATGCATCACTCTGGAACTTCTGAGAAAAATTTTCCATTACCCAGAAAATTGCGGGGATGAGGGATTTTTTCCGGCTTTGAGTCGTCTCATTACACGGAATCTCTCATTCCTAGAAGTGTTCTGCACCAAATGTTCCGGATAACAGAGATATCACTTTTGCTGTAAAATGTAAGACTTACCCCACCCCCTCACAAAAAAAAAAAAAAAAATGGTAGCAGCAACTGTAGGCCCACCTTGTGATGATGACTACTTCGATAAGTTAACAAGAGCTGGTGTAGATGTACTATTTAAATATTCTGCGAGATTTGTTACTATGGGCTGCACAATGCTATCTAGAGAAAAACATGGTTGCAGTCTCAATAAAACGTATATGAACAGAATATGAGGTTAGCCAGTGGGTTATTACAACACTTTATAAAGCACAATACAGGGGGTCCCTGGGTTACGAACGAGTTCCATTCCTGAGGGCGTTCTTAAGTCAGAACACATGCCCCTTTGCATGTTCAAGAATTTTGTATTTCTTTCAAAATGGTTACGATCGTTGACAATCTGAAGCCCAACGCTCTACCAATGACTGAGGATGTTTCGCCTTTTACAGAACGTTTAAATACATCAACTTTCACTTTCGTTGTAATTGTTTTCCTTTCCTTGGATGTACTACTATCACTTGCATCAGGTAGCCATAATGAGGGCAGAAAAATTGGGTTAATAAACACTTGATCACAGATGTTACTGAGGTGAGGGCAAGGCATACCGACCTCCCTCAAGGCGTGTGGCTGGACGAAGCATTACTCCCCACCTGCCGCTCTACCACGCAAACTAGTTCTCGTACGTTAATACTACATAACCAGGGGTACCTATGTCGGAATCTTAAAATACTTGACCTTATGGGACCTTGTTCACATTGGCAGGTGTTCATAATACGGGGACCTCTGTACCATACTGCTAAGTACAGCATGTGTATGACAAGTTTCCATGCCATGCATGGCCTTGATAAGGGCCATGTTTACAAGGCACTAATACTGTAGTGAGTTAAGACTTTGGCTGGCATTAATAAAAATAAATACTTTTCTTGTGTTATTCGATAAAGAACTATTAGCATACAGTCTCTCCTCGACTTACGACGGGGTTCCGTCCCGACGACCAGACCATAAGTCGAATTGGTCGTACGTTCAAAAGGAGAAAATAATACATAGAAATTCTAAAATGGGTGTCTCTTTTTCTTCTCAGCACCCAGAGAATTCTCACTTTTACGCTTGCCAGCCATTTTAAAGGGAATTACAAACAAAAATTTTGTCAGTACACAGCTCGATCACTAACGTCTGGACTCGAAAATACGTAATGTGAAAATATTTTATAGGACCATGCCGTCGTATGTCCGGATTGTCGTAAGTCGAGGAGAGACTGTACCTGTAGTACCATGTTTCTGGTACAGGTTGAAGCTCCCATATCTGGCAATCATGGGTCCAGCTCCATGCCAGATAAAGGAAATTACCGTTATTTAGAAGGTTGTATTTCTTAAGTATTTGTAACAGGTTACCAATACTGTACATGTATACCTGTATGTACAGTCGTGGACAGAAGTCCTGTCGCCCCTTGTGCTGTTCCGCGAACAAAGAGATTGACTCATGAACCTGAAGCAGTAGACACTGGTGCATTATTCTGCCCATAAATGCTTCGGATTCATGGAGCAGCAGAAGGGACGACAGGACTTCTGTTCACGAGTGTGTGTGTGTGTGTGTGTATACAGTAGAAGTCCAAAAATCCGGACTGCTTGGGGATTGGGTCGGTCCGGATTTTCGGATTTTCCGGATTCTCAGGCAGTACTTTTAAAATTCAAATTTAATGAAGAATAAAGAAGAAATGAACAGGTACATTTTGATAGTTTATTCATTTGCAAATATAGCATGCTTCATTTATCAAAACGAGCAGTTTTAATGAAAAAGCTGTGAATTCTAAATTTTATTCTTTGCCTTTTATATATCATAAATTGTAGACTTTCCAATGTCGTATGTTTCCATTAGAACAGTATTGCTCACACCACGATCTCTAGTTTCTTAATTATTTCAAGTTTGTCACTCAATTTCAATGTGTTCTTCTTTCTCTTCACACAACGAAGTTTATCTACTTTAGGAGCCATTATTATGGGCTTGTACAGTACTCTGTAAATGGAAAGAGTAGGACTCAAAATATTGTTATATTACAATGGTATTCTATTCATACTGTGCTTGATATAATGCATTCACGGAAATGTAATATTTTTGCTGAACGTACGTATTACAGTGGAAAGTGGGATAAAATCGTGATGAAAACAATGACTTTCGCTTTCTTTCGTTCAAAAGATGTTACCGTAATCACTTTTCGAATGGTTTTCAGTTAAAAACTGTTGTATTACAATAATATTCTATCCTAATTGACTTGAATAAATACTGCGATACCATATTTCTGAATATTTTCATTAAAATCCATCAAAATCATTTTCCTTGTCACCGTCTGCAGCACCAAACAGCTTCTCCCAGTCCTCTCTTTGAACAGGCTAGAGGGTACGTGTTTTCGAATCGTTTTCAGTTAAAAAACTATTACATCACTCCTCTATTTTACCTAAACTGCGCCTGAATGAATATATTCTCGGAGATAATATAGTAGTTTTGTGGAAACGTGACGTATTTCAATGTAAAATAGGATAAAATACATGACGAAAACAAAAGACTTTACCTAAGCTTCCGATGTTCTTGAGATGTTACTCGTTTTTTTAATAGTTTTCGGTTAAAATTCTGATATATTACAATGATATTCTATTCATACTGTGCTTGATATAATACATTCACGGAAATGTAATATTTTTCCTGAAATTACATACGTATTACAGTGGAAAGTGGGATAAAATCATGACGAAAACAATGACTTTCGCTTTCTTTCGTTCAAAAGATGTTACCGTAATCGCTTTTCGAATGGTTTAGTTTAAAAACTGCTGTATTTCAATAATATTCCCTCCTAATTGACTTGAATAAATACTTGAATGGAAATATACAATATTTTTGTTGAAACTACCCGGGTTTCAGTGTAAAGTGTCGTAATAATAAATGGTAAACAATTTGCCTTCAGCACTTGTGTTTCATGCACGGCGAGCCTCAGTTTATAGGACGTAGAGCGTTTTTAGTGGTTTTGTTGTTCCATTACCCTCAAAAACGTGGGTGGAACTATAAACGAGGAATATCATAAATTAACGATTTCATGGTCAAAAAATCAGGGTCTACTGATAACGAGGGGGGTTATAGACGAGTATATACGGTATGTTGTCACAGTTTGATTGCCCATTTTAAAGTGGCGACCACGTGGTCGCTTGTCGCTGTGCAGCTGTGGCGCTCACGCATGCGCACATGCACACAAATGCCCACTAAAAAAATTTTTTTTTTGAAAAGTCCGGATTCTCGGGTGGTCCGGATTTCTCGCATCCGGATTTTTGGACTTTTACTATATATATATATATATATATATATATATATATATATATATATATATATATATATATATATATATATATATATATATATATATATATATATATATATATATATATATATATATATATATATATATATATATATATATATATATATATATATATATATATATATATATATATATATATATATATATATATATATATATATATATATATATATATATATATATATATATATATATATATATATATATATATATATATATATATATATATATATGTTAACTATATTCTAGAATGACTAATAATTTTAATATAAAAAATGCAAAAATACTAAAGAGCACAACCTTCTTGATATTTACTCCACTGGAAACGAATGTAAACATAGAACCAATTACTGTATTGGTGGACTAGCCGATCAGATGATGCGCACAGCAAAACGTGTTTGTTGTAAGGATTTAGTTAATCGAACTGAAAATCCTTATGGGAGCTAATTCGTTAACCGAAATTTTGTTAACCGAGGAACCACTGTACTGTATTTTACTTAAAGAAAACTGAAAAAAATTATAATACAAACCGAAAGTCTTTCCTAAACCCAACCAGAATTTCACGGACCAAGCGAGAAAACGGAAGCTTGGGAATCAGAAGATTTGTTCCTCTCTGGAAATGGCGAATTTCCCTAAGAGCAACTGTTCCAGGCCGAAACCTCAACTTCCTTTTTCCAGGAGTCCTTCTCTAAAAAGAAAAAGAACATAATCAGTATGAATTCAGATAATGAACAAACTAAAGAAATATCCACTGCATCATATTAATAAACTGTAGCTACTGATAAATATTACTTCGACTCACTTTCTTTTTATAGAAGCTGGTAGACTTCTTACGTTTTTCAGAAGTGGTTGGTGTTGCTTCTGGAGTTTCTTCTGCTGGTGATGGAAATGGAGGAGACTCAAGCAATAACTTTTTCTTGGGGGTTGATGCCACCACTAATGGCTTTTTTAGCTTTCTGCAAATTAAAATTTTTCACCATTTAAGAAATTTAATAAGTCCAGGGCATATCATCATTGTGGGGCCTCCTTTACGCTATAGCACGCACGCACGCACACACACACTCTAGCATGCAGCTGTGAAAAAAAAAATTATAATTATTTTCCGTTTTATTTTAATAATTACAAAACTAAAGTAATGGATGGAGGTAGTAATTTTACAGTACAGGATATTGCAACACAAAATACGGAAAAAATGAAAGAGATCTGTGTCCTAGATCATATGTGATAACTGTTCTACAAGTTATGAAACTACTTAAAATGTGAGATTCGAAAATGCACAAACAATTTTTAAAATTTAAGACCTGGTGATATTATTGCATGCATATACAGTACATGGAATATATATTTTTTTTTATTTCTTGTAACCTAAACAAGACAAATATCATAAGATAGTCTTGGTATAATGAAAATTTTTTTTAACATAACTCTTAATCAAGACACTAATTTAATGTACTATGACTTCTCATAAAGAATTTGCAAAGTAGCAGAAACAGCCTACTTTCGAAAATTAACCTTCCTTGCTTTCATTTCACCAAATTCTTCTATCAATTTATGATTGCACAAACTTGAGACAAAGTTGTTCTTTGATAACTTTATATAAATTTGAGTTAATAAAAGCTTTGCTCCCCTGATGCCACTGTGACTGCAACTGTCAACAAAATCCTGTGCACTACTTCTGCATTATGGAAGGAACCATTGAGAGATTTTAGAAACTGAAGGACTTGAAGTGCATTTTTTATTTCTTTGGGAATGAGCACTCCGAGTACTCAAATCTCTGAAAACAACTCGACTTTCTCAATATCATGAGAATTTCCAACACTCAATGACTTGACCAAAGCAAGGTTGTGCTCAGCTAGGGAACATGTGTGTATCTATAGTACTCATTGAACATAACCTTTTCACTTCCATCCATTGGCTTAGTCTTTCACTAAAATGTTTCCAATCAGCACAGCCTTCATTTATTAGTTTATTTGCTGCATTTGAATTGTATAATTATTAACCAGGAGGGAGTAGGACCCGGGGCAGCCACCCCCCAGGGCAGCTCTGTATATAGGAACTGGAAAGTTATTTAAAATCAATCAGTAGTGACACATACAATAAACCCATGTCTCCTTAGTCTCCCCATTCATAATGTTAATATACTAAAATGAACCAGTTAATCACAATTTCCATTTCTGTATCACCAATCACTACACCAGATTATCTACAAAGCAATGGAGGAAGGCAGGCTCGGAGTAGACTGTGGTTACGTTGTGAATGCATGCCTGACAAAATTTGATAATGACTACAGGGCTTTAAATCTTGATTATACATACCATCTTTGATAATGACTGATTAAAATTTAAGAGCTACAGGTATGTTATTGGTGAGGTGTGAGTAAAGGTATCTATCTACTCATCATGAAATACATGATTAGTGTAAAGAAAGAATCAGGACCAATGGGGGAGAGGGGATTAAAAACTTTCAAGTCAAAGCCCTAAAGGTGCAGAAATAATAACATGCTTACAGTAAATTAAAATGATTTTATTTTGCCCTGTAGATGTACAATTACTCATTAGTAACCAAGCGTAAGTAAAGGACCCACTGAAAATTGCATATATACATGTACCTGCAGTTTATGCACACTGTATACCTGCATTGTCTATACTGTATGTATGCTGAACTGAATAGCTCTGCATGGTCTATATACATGCCAAACCAACAGTAAACCCGTTGGAATTTTTTTACAAATTACTGTACGTATTACCTTTATTATGGTAAATACCTGTACTGTATGCTGTATAGTAATGGAGTGCCTGTACCTGGCTATTCAACACAACAGCTTTTATAGCTGGGTATCCTACCTAAGTTTACAGTATAATACAGCTAATACACTGTATCACTCACTTATTTTACACCTCACTGCTATAATATTAATGTTTTAGTATATTTGTATCCAGTAGCATTCTTTTTCTACCTGTTTTATATATTAAAAATAAAATAATTGGAAGTGAAGGCTAGGTTAGGTATAGTTCCCTTTAAAGTTATATTTCATTACTGGAGACCTCAGGTATTATACACTTGTGTTGTTATATTTGTAACCCCAATACCCCACATGGAACGTTACCAATTTAACTTAAATATCATAAACATAACATAAACCTTGTGAGAGTGAGGTACCTAGCTACACATGCTCTTTTATATAGAAGACACTGATCGAGTAATGATACCGGTTTTTCTAGAGGTGTATGCTATGCTCTGGTGATAACCATCCGAGGGCAAATTCTTAATTTTTGAGCTATGGTCCATTTCTCCTGCTTCAATATTTATACCCGCAAAATGGACAAGGCTTTGAAGCGGAAAAGTGTGGGGCTAAAGCCCGTAAAACATGTTATTTTAATTTACATTATTTTTATCAAGTTTTAGAGTTAAAATTTCTCAACAGCTGGATGTGGTTACAAACGTCAAACCTCTCCCAATTAATAAACTTAAATTTGGACATTTGTAACTGCCACCAGTTACCTTTGAGAGGTTGCACGAGGTGTGCTGCCGAGAACAGTGAAAGGAACACAAGACACCCCAAAACTGAGGAAATATGCTAAACCCAAAGTGACACCTTTATATAATACTGTGTTGTTTTTGAACTTCACAGATCAGTGGAGTGTGAAATAATAAAAGAAAGAAACCTAAATAATCAAACCTAAAATGAACGATTAAAAAAAACTTGGTAATCAAAAATTTCTGATGAAAACACGATAAAGCATTTTTTTAATGGCTATTTCCTTATATAAAAATCAATATATTGTAGCTAGACTTCAGTGCATGGTGTGGGATTCTAGGCTCAAAACATAAAAAAAAAAAAAAAAAAAAATTTTAAGATGTTTTTTTTCATGAAAATGTACAGGTACATACATTATATTTCTGTCTTCTAACATCTTTATGAAGTAGTACAGTACAGTATATGATTATAGTTTCATAAAAATATTGATAACCTGAGAAAAAGTAGAGTAGATTGGACGACATTCTACATCCATGCTCAACTGGCACAACTAAATCATTCACCATGCCACGGACCAGCAATGGTTTAGAATATTATGTTTTAAGTCCACATTTTCCCTGCTTCTTCTTAGCCCTGCCCACTTTTTATTGTATTAATACTGAGGAGGAAAAATAGTCCGTAACTCAAAAATGAAGTACTTGAACAAGAAATGGTGGTAAGCCTGTATTTTAAGGGCATACAATCATGAACACCATCCTGAAGAAGCTGGAAACTTACCAAAGTAGCAGACACTGGTACATTAATATTTAGGCACAGGCTATAGGTACAGCAGCCATATGTGAAACGTCGATGTCTACCGGTACAGCAGCCTAATGCACATGTGTGGTGGGCAGACTATACAATGATAAGTTACTAACCTAATTTATGGTAGTGCCATTTATAAATGGCAGTAACCCACACTGTGTATAGAATCCTTGGAAAGAATTCAGAGGAGAATGACAAAACTAATCCCAGGCATTAGGAACCTTGAGTACAGAGACAGGTTAAAGCATCTTAATCTGCAATCCCTCGAGACGTAAAGTGAGGTGCGATATGATAGAGGTGTATAAATGGAAGTCAGGGCTGAACCAAGGGGACATTACAAAGGTACTCAAACTATCCAACCGGGAGCGAACTCATAACAATGGTTTTAAATTAGACAAATTTAGATTTAGGCGCGAAGTAGGTAAACATTGGTTTGGAAATAGAGTAGTGGACAAGTGGAACAAGTTACCAAATATCATCATTAACTCGAATACGCTGGATAGCTTCAAACATAGGTTGGATGGATATATGAGCAATAAGGGTTGGGTGTTAATGGAACTGCCCAGTATGGGCCAATAGGCTCGCTGCAGTTACCTACATTCTTATGTTCTTACGTATGTACAGTATTCCTTTGAAAGACTTGTGACGAAACGTCGGGAATAAAGCTCTATCTCTTAGTCGTGTTTCCTTCACTACCACACCACCATCTATCCACTATGAACAATGTTCATAACCTAACCTTAACAATAAAGTCCATCAATATGCCTGCCATTCCTAAATCCACTATGGAACGTATAATTTATTATTTATACAATGTTCCAAACTAACTTAACCGCACCTATATTGCATACTATTGTTTATGTGAATCTTGAGTTTAGGCTGGTTAGTTTGGTTTATTTTATGAATTATAAATAATACAATGTAAAAATATCTCCTACTTCAGAAAATTCCCAGCCTGGCCCAATGTCAACAATGGTGCTCGTGATTTTACGCCATTAAATATATGATTAACACCAGGAGACGAAAATAAAGAACACCCTGTAAAACGATGTCGCGTCACTGGTTCAAGGAGCCTGTGTTTTCTATATATTCATTAGCCATTATGTTAAAATTTAGTTTTGCTCATCCCTATATTTAGATATCCAAACTAGCTTAACCTAACCGATTCCCCTGAAGACCAAAACTAAATTAATACCGGCATTATTATTTTTATAGATACTGTGTTTGCCTCTCACCACTGTGGCTCAGGTATAATGCCCACTTGGGTTAGATGTGAAGGGTGGTGTCTAGTTTGACCATACTAAACACAGCAGTTTTCTCCATGTAGTAATGTACAGTACTGTTACTTACTCCTATACTAACACTGGACCTCTGAGAAAACTAGTCATCCACATCTAACCTGAGAGAATATTTGTCATTAATGGGCAATGGTGAAACGTCAGGTTTATCATTATTCTACACCAGCATCTATGACGGTGAAATTCTTACATGGTATGATAATATGAGCATTAATGATAGACAATAGCAATAAAAACAAATAAATATACAGATATCCACAGCACAAAACACACTCGCTCCTTTCAAACACATCACTGACTCTAACAACAACCCCTATCACTTATAATTTACTCTTACAATACCTCATACTCACTTGTCTTGTAAAGTTCGAACCATCTTGAGATATAACTATTAATGTAGCAGGTGTAGTAGAGTGAATTACCCACAAGGAAATATAAAATCAACGGCGCCCGTTTTCAAACTGATGAGGTATGGGTCCGAACTTCCCTGGCGCTATCGTACGGCGTGGGGGGATTACCGTACTTGGACCGCCTTATCGTGCACATAAGTATTAGTAATTATTAAACTTTACTTAAACAAAATATAATAAATGTAGATTAGATAATAAGAAGAAAACTATAAAATAATATGGAGGATATTGATAGAGAAACATGAGAGAAGTGTGAATATAATGTGGAGGGATTTTTTTTTTTTAATGATATTTGTTAGTTTTATGGATATTAAATGTAGTATCACAAAATATATGTGATTTTTGTTACTATAATTTAGTTATTCTACGGGTTTCTGTACAATGGTAGAGTCTGAGAAAAAATTAAGTAAAAAATCAAATTAAAAAAATATATACAATTAATTAGATTATAAAATTAAATGCCATCTCAGAAATTTGAAGCCTAGGGGAAGCCCATTATCTTCATGTACCTTTTAATGTCTCTTCTGTTTTTAAGATGGTAAATTGTTTCAAGAGATTTAATAGTTATTGAAACACACATAAGTGAGCGAGAAACAAACGTGAATTCAAATACGTATTCAAGTCTAAGTATGACAAACACAGGAACAAGTCGGGAATGGAAATAATTTGTCCAGAGCTAAAATTTTCAGGAATGATGCAGAAATATGTCTATAATAACATATCCAAATTATACCTCATAAAACCTTGAGTAATTTTCACAATTTAAGATTATCCAAGATAGTTGTCATGTTGCTAGACTCCCATAAAACACACATATGTAAGTCACACTTTATCACTTTAGAATTATAAATGATGATTCATGACCAAGGTTATACATATGCTGTTACATTACTTACGCATATATGATCTTTGGTCAATAAAATACTAAAGAATTGAAGAATGGAATGCAAAACAAGCAATACTCAGCCCATGATAAACCGATAAAAAACGGAGAAATCACATCCCTGTAAAGATGTGATGAAGAGAATAGGGATGTGCTAAACGTGTGATGGAAGGAAGAGGAATGTGACAAGGGAAGGAGAAGGTGATAAAGATGATAAAGAAGGCGATGGAAAATAAGTTTAAGGACCACACCTTATATAATTAAACTCATGTTAGGTTAGCATTGGTTCGCTTAGGTTAGGTTAGGTTGTACAATGAAGATACTAAATTACATAAACATGAAGAATCACCTGAAGTTTAACCCATCTAGTTTGTTTCACCTTCATATTAACCACCCTAATGCTAACCTAACCTAACCCCCAGGTGTAGCGTTCGGGTGTTTAATCTATCAGGTGAACTAAGCTGCTGTAGTAATCTGGTGTGTCTGAGGATATTTCTGGTCCATTAATTTGAAAGAAAAAACAATAATTTCTTCATTGTTTAGTGCACACTTTAAAAGATCACGTTTACTTATGTAGAGGCGTGGGGTAACCTTCAACAATCACAGCGAAAAAGGTATACCAAGACTGCTCTGAATAATTTGGTAATTGAAAATGTCATCGCGGAGAGGTTTAGATGGCGATAAGCCTGCATAAAACAACGAGCAGGTCCGTCTGCCCTCACCAAGGTGTTGGTCTAGGAATGTGGCGGGGTTAAAGGAATATCCTTCCTTCCTTAGGCTTTAGTAAGCCCCTTTATAATATTTATACTGTATATACTTGTGACACTTGCCAGATGCTTCTGGTGTCATTGTACAGGGGTACCTAGTGACAGCACTAGGATCCCGCTTCCTCTATCAAGGAATAAACAATTGAAATTGAAATTGAAATTGAATGTGGCGGGCCTCCAGCAGCGGCGCCTCGGTTGTCAGGCCCAGAGGACGCGTTACTCCCGCCTCACCTCACCTGTATTTCAGCCCTGGAAGATATCTCTCTTTTTCCGGAAAACAAATATTCCAACTTTTTCACGCTGTATTCTGATTTATGATTGTTGTTATTATTATTATTTAGTTGAACTAAAGTTGAAGTGTTCACCAGGACTACAACACGATGACCTATTTATTGTCTGTAGAAACAGCAAGGTCAATTTTGCTGAGCCTTGTTCTCGCAAAGGTGTCCATAATCAAGCTTTAGATTTTACAATTCTTACTTAACATTTCTCGCAACTGAGTGGGTAGGATGTAGGTTGGAAAACTGAAACCGATTTGTCTGGATAAAATATCATGTAGAATTAAAATACTATACTATAGGAAAGGCAAATATCATCAGTAACCTAACCTAACATTCCCTAATCTAATCATGTACAGTTTGGTTGTTAAGAGTAATCGACGTTTAAAATAAAACAAAAAGTCTCATCATTATTTTACAACAGTTAAACAAAAAAGTTGTCCCTACTTGGCAAAAGGTCAGTACGTTATAAAGTTTATTCGGCTATCACGTGTAGAAGTGTCACACACACAATATATATATATATATATATATATATATATATATATATATATATATATATATATTATATATATATATATATATATATATATATATATATATATATATATATATATATATATATATATATGGGTGTGATACTTTTACATATAATATATACAGTACTTGTCACGCTAAATAATTATGTTGTCTAATGGTAGACCCTGCTGCCATGTGTGACCAAGTCCCAGGTTGCTGATCTGACTTTCTGCCTCATTTACACACAATTGCACGGTCTCAATTGTTTCTCTTCCTTTGACAACACAACATACATATTATAATGCTTCTTACAACTGATTTTTTAATTTATGTTTTTATTTATGGTCCTTTATTATTATCATTATTATTTTATTATTATTATATTATAGTATTTTTATTTAATATTTTATGAATTTTTATTAACTTTTATTAATTAGTATTATTTTTATATTTTCGCCCCCAGGCCCTGATGTGGGTCATTGACCTGTGCCCTGGTGGGGTAATCCCTTAAAAAAGTAGGGATAATCACAGGGTAAGGTATAAACAGCTTCTGACGTTTTTGCCAAATAGGAATTATTTTTTTGTATATAATAATAATAATAATAATGCTTGCCCCTCGTGTAACGAGAATGGCCGGACCTAAGGCCACCTAGGCGTGAATTTGTTTAAGGTGTACAAGCTGTCGCCAACACAACAACCACACCCTAAGTTAACGAGTTGCATGATCCAGTGTCAAGGAATAGTCCGAGAAGACCGGACAGCAGGCCAACTGCACTGGCTAACCATTACCCCGGAATACGATCCGCAAATCGATTAACATCCAGGTCCCCAATTACTGCTGAGTAGACAGAGGCAAATGGCGTAAAGAAACTTGCCCATAGTTTCACCCTGTATATATTCCTACAACTTAGTGAAAATAAACTCGAATAAGGTAAAAATTGGTCTATTTCATTTAAGACATCATTTGCAGCCATAAAACAGACAAATTCTTCCTTAAACTGGTTAGTTTAGGTTTTTTATTCATTTTTGTGATAACGCTCTTAGGCGAATATTCCTATAGTGTAGCAAATATACTCTTATAAAAACAGTATATGGAGTGACCGCACCAACACAAGTCGGGCCTGAGACACGCACACTATAAATTGGTGGGTCTTATCACTGAGCGACTGACATACACAATGTCTCAAAAGCCATTGAGCGTAGCCGGGGTTGAGGGTAAACGGAGGCTACAGCATCCTTGGAATGTGTAGATCAAAGACAGAGAAAACAAAGTGTGAAAAGAAATTTGAAGTTGAAGCCAAATTCCAGATTTTCGAAGCGTTGTTCTTTCATCTTGAAGACTGTGTTGACCATCCACTGAACCATGGCTGTCTCACACTATAACTAACTTACTAAATAAATAAATAAATAAATAAATAAACTTGATAGAACTGTTCGCACGGTATATATCTCGTCTTTAAATATTTACTTATTTATCGACATTTATTTTCGCCGTAATATTCGTGATTAATTTCTTGTATAATCTTTGTTGATATTCAGTACAAAAAGATTATCTTCCATTGTTTATTTTGTGAGTAATGGCGCTATGGTTGACCACCCAGGAGGGCACCTGTCACACCCTCCTCCAGGTGTGTGTGTGTTACCTCCTGCCCTCCTCCTTACCCCCTCTGCCCATTAACCCTCCCTCAACCCCAACATTATGGCTCCTACCCATCTCACTTACTTCATTCCCCCTTTTTACAGAGAAGGAAGCAGACGACAAGAAGCAAGGGTGAAGATATATATTCTCGGGAAGGAAAAGGGCAATAAAGGTGAAATATATTTTAGGGACACATTAACACGGCGTCAGGCTATGTTTTACAGTCAGGCTATGTGCCAAACCCTCATCCTGGATCACATCTGGTTAATAATAATAATAATAAAAATAATAATAATAATAATAATAATAATAATAATAATAATAATAATAATAATAATAATAATAATAATAATAATAATAATAATAATAATAATAATAATAATAATAATAATAATAATAATAATAATAATAATAGCAACAATAATAATAACGATAATAACAACAATAAATAAAAACAACAATAATAATAATAATTATACAAATAATAACAAAAATATCAATAATAATAATAAAATTTTTCAAAGAGTTTAGAAGATTTGCCGTAACACAACATATTCCATCACCTTGGACTCTGTGAGCTATCAAAAATATTACGGTTAAAGCTTCCTCGATGACCAGCATGTACAGCTTTCAGTGAGTTGTATTTTTTTGTTTTAATATTACTCCTCCATCATAAGAACCTATAGGTATTAATTTTTGTTACTAATTAAACTTTTCAATTACCAGAAGTTGTAGGAAATTATTAACTATTGTATGTTACTTCAGAATATACTGGAGTTATTACGCCCTAACATTCTTAGTGTAATATTACGTCAGTTTACAGAAGTTTGAGTCCTGTGAGCTTGGCCTTTGATTGGACACACACACACACACTCCAGCACCGTATACAGGCAGACAGAGAATGACCCATTGACCCACGCCAAGACCCATTCCTCCTCTCCTTCCTTCTCGACCGCCCGCTGCCGAAAATCTCTGTTGGGAATTGA